CCTATTCGATAATATGTTATTTATTTTTGATGACCTATTCTACAGTGGTTCTATGTTCATACAAAGGTCGTAGGTATTTATAATCATAGTACGGAAGTACGTATTTATAAACACATCGTAGGCATATTATTGTAATTATTCCGAAGTTATTCAAAGCCAATTAAAATAAATTTTATATACAATAATAAAATATAAAAAAAATAACGTCAGCTTATTCTTATACGAAATTCCTAGAATATTTGAAAAATTTACTAAGAATTATGATATTTTATCAATTTCACTTTCACAAAGCTATACTGAAAAATGAAACATGCAATTTATTTAAAATCTCATATCAGATTAGGATTGAAATATGCTAAATTAAAGGGTCATTATCTAACAAGCCGTAAGTGTTACGCATAATAATTAATAATTCATAATATTAGATACTTCATTACGAGCTATTTAAAAAATTAGTTCTCGCAACTAAACTAGATGACGCTACGTATTCTGAAACATTTGTAGTGTTTAAACATCTATGGTATGCGTTCCTATTTTCTTATTGATGTAATAAAAGTAAATTGTTCAAAAAAAAAAGTAATTAATTGTAAAGACAATTAAAGATAAGCTTAAAGAAGCTTATCGCGTTTCTACAAAAAAATATGTTTCAAAGACTTTTTTATTGTTTTTAACCGCAAAGCTTAAATTAATATTATAAAGAGAAAAAAATTGTTTGTTTGTTTGTATCGAACAGGCTCCGAAACTGTTGGGCTAATTTTAAAAAGTTTTTCACCTACGGGAAGCTACATCTACCTTCGTATGTGACATAGTCTATAACTTACGCAGACGAAGTCGCGGAAAAAGATAGCACTATATATTTTTGTATTGTTTGATATTTTAACAAAATACTTTCTGCTTTACTAATAAAAATCGCAACTATATTGATTGCCCTACGAAAAGCAAATAACAATGTGTTTTTTTTATTGTAAGTAGAAAAGACATATTTTCTCAAAACCATGTTTAATATGTTTCACCGGAATGACGCAACGCTTGTATTTAGTGGCCATTGAAAGCCACGAAGCAAATATAATTCGCTAAACTACATTGTGTATTACAGTTGTAAAACCAGGATGTACCTTATAATGTAAAATATTACCCATTCATTATGTCCACAACTTAAACTCGATTGCCGTAAACGTCAAAGCCAAAGTCAAAGTCAAAAGTTATTTTAAACAATTCTTTAATGCAATTTCAACGGCGGAAAATTTTGTCGTATGAATTACACTGTAACGGTGCTTCGTACCAACGCCCGTTTATTTCCTTCTAGGTTTACACATGCAAACTTTTTGTCTTTGATCTTCCACATCATTTCCTTTTATTATTCACCTTTCATAATTTAAAATTTTAAGTAATCCAATATGCTCTTTATGAATGTTAGTTAGTAAAAAATTCATCTGGTGATTCATCAAACCTATGGGTGAAACCAGTGGTAGAATATCTTATAAATTTAATTATATAAATCTAATAATAATAAAGTTATTATAACACTAAAAGCCTATGGGTGAAACCAGTGGTAGATTATTTTCAAGTCAACCTTAGCATGTGCCTGAATGTTACAGTTGGATTTTCAGTTTCTCTTACTTTCCTCACTCAATAGATGTAGTTGGTTATTATAATTTATTATGACTTAATTTACTAGGGAGGTCAACAATAATGCATCTGGATGAATGGCATACCGTTTATCACACATCATATCACTTTAACTGCATTTTCATTAATAGCTACGTCATATAATTAAGAGTTTGATGGCGTAGTGCTTATCGCGTTCTGCTTGACTTTCGTGCAAGCTGGTCATAGAATGGGTGACCAAAAATTTAATATCTTTCGCTACGGAAGACACGTTATCCATTGGTTCTTGGCTGCATCTGTAGTCGTTAACACCAACAATCCACACTGGACCTGCGTGGTGGATTATGGGCCGGTCTCTATTAGACCCAGCACAACATTTATGATATTAATAAGCCAAAGATGATGACGGGAATTGAGTTAGACATTTTCATGTGTGTTTTTATAGTATTTGAATCAATATAAACATCTATGCTATTACAGTGGTCACTTCATATGTGTTTTATAGTATTTGAATCAATATAAACATCTATACCATTATAGTGGTCTCCGAGTTTGTTATCATGCAATTGCGTTACATTCAATGCATTGTCATCAGTAAACAATTTAGAAATAATATCGTATTCAGTGATTATCTATAATAATGGCGCTATCTTCTTTCAATAGGTAAGCAACTCTCATACTAAATGGAATGCGAAATTTGATTACGCAAAGTTAATTATCGCGTACACTATATTGGATTAACTATAGCATAATATAATCAATAAAGTACTTATAAATTCCTAGAAACCTTTGAACGTGAAGATAGATAATATTGAAATTATTAATAAACCCTACAATAGAATTATACCTAATTGGGCTTTTTTGCGATCTTTCTCATTATATTATACTATCTAGCTGTTTTTCTGCGACTGTGATGAAGCTTCCCGTTGGTAAAAGAATTTTATAAATCGGTTTAGAAGTTTTGGAGCCTATTCGATGCCAACAAACAAACAACCAAATCTTTCCTGTTTATAATATTTGTAAAGAAGTATCTATCTATAACTCCGTGAACATTGACTACTTATATAAACATAATTTTCTTACATTCAGAAGTGCCAACGTCAACTAAGACTCAGTACATAGAAAATATAAATAAATATGAAGAAGAAGAAGAAGAAGAAGAAGAAACATTTATTGACCTCACAAAGACACAAACAAGATAATACATTATTAGGAACACATAAAACACAATAAAGATACAAAATAAACAATAAGGTACATAATGAATAAAAGAGAAAGAAAGTGAGATCAACCAGGACTCTGCCTCAGCTGGTGTTGATGCGACACGGAAAGCGCCACATCAACGCTGAATATCAAATGTCAAATATCATCTCAACACTATGCTAGAATAGCTATTAGATGACCTCCGTAGTCGAGTGATTCGTATACTAGTTTCAAGGTGTTGCCTTCTCCGAGTTTCCTAGTTCGATTCCCGGTAGAATTAATGTAGTAAATGGACTTTTATATATTGTCTCGGGTCCGGGTGCTGCTGTACCTTCTTTGTTTTAGATACTCAAATTCAAATTATTTATTCACAGGAAACAGAGTATTTAAGATTTAACTGTGTTTGTTTGTTTATAGTAGGTATTCTTCGATACTACAATACTGATCTGATTATAAAAATTATTTCACTTACGGGGATCTACATTTTTTGCAGTTGACATAGGCTATAAATTTATTGATGAGAAACAGTAATATAACCATCTCCATCTCCATAATTGGTTCCATCTATTGGGCCAGCTAGTATCTAAATAAACAGAATCGGTTTGTAACGTATTATTAAATTTGCATCCAAACAAATAAATCCATATGTTATATTTCTTGTATGGTTTATTTCTTTATTGCGTATTCGTTTTCCCTATTTACATGGAACTTTTATTAAGTATGGAAATTTCTATAAGCGTTAATCTTTCTTGCCTGAACATGTTATTGTCCAGCACGCGTAGCTTGTATACACTCATTTGTCAGTTTCTCGGGTCGAGAGTGAGATATAGTATGGGCGCACCCGAGAAAAGTGACATTTGAGTGTAGACAAAACGTTCTTAAAGTTCTTCAAAAGGTTAAATTTATTTAAAGATTTACAAATTATATGTACAAAGCAAAGGACGTAATAAAACAACAAACTAAACAACATTACCTAAATTTTAGACAAAATGAAAGGTTCTAGTTTGATCAATTATTAATAATAATTTTATTCACTTGTACTTACACAAGGTTCAATTTATTAATAATCGTCCTCATTTTAAGATTTATACGTCTATAACTCGTTAATTCGTTCTGATAGAAGAGTTGTTTATTAAATGAATTGATTTGGTTATTATATTTTATGAAATCATTTCAACATTTATTTATTTTATTAATCATATTATTTCTTCCTATATATGACGTTTCAGGTTGACTGATAAAGAATAGGTACTTAAAGGAACGTTATTTAGACGTTACTCATTTTAAATCCGTAAAAAATTCTAGTAAAATTTTGAACTTTGGATATTTTGATAGATGTTGTATCCTGTTTTTAAAAATATTTATTACAGCAAATAAGTGATTACATATTTTGAAAAGTGTGAGCAACTTTAAAACATTAACAAATAAATAATTAGAACATTTTTATTTTAAACGTAATAGAACATTTTAAAGTAGGCATTTCATGTTTAGTTGGTATACCATTCTGTTTCGTTCTTACTCTATGTCAGGTAAGTGCTAATTGAGTCTCGCACGCGTCGGCCGCCTCCAGCCCAGTTAGGGCCACTTACCCTGTTTGTTCTAAACGTTACATTTCACCCGCAAACGCCCTATTCCGGCCGATCATTGGATATTTTATCTCCTCTTTTTGTGACCGCTACCTTGTTATGTAAATACATGTTTAAAACTTCTCAGTAGTTTCATTAAAGTTCATAATGAAGGCGGGACTTCTTGTGAACTCGAATTCTTTGGACAAGTTTTTAGAAGAAATAAATATTTTGTATAACTAACATACTTGTGACATATTACATACTATCTTCCATATAATAACTTTATTAAAGTTGATTTTAAAAATGAATTATTACTTACATGTTTCTTTAATATTCCCATTATAATTAAGACGAATTATATATGTATTTTTTTATGAATATAAAATGTAATAATCAATAAAACAATCTTCATACGTTGACATACAAAAAGACAATAGGTAATTATGTTTTTTATTACAAAGACGATGCTATATATCTATCTATTATATATCTCAATAAAGATTTCTGCAAATAGAAAAAAATTAACTGATTTAATTTTGCCAACTAAATTATAAAATTCCAACATTACTTTTATTGGACATTAAAAAAACTATAAGGTTTTTGTAAAGGAAACAATATATTGCGAGTTAATATTTAATTTCATAATTTTTCTTAGCAATTATACGATTTCGTTCAGCGTCTGAAAACTTATAATTAGACACAGCAATACAATAGACAGTGTCGTACTATTTTACAAATTTATTATGTATTTAAGCGCATATTTTGTATAGGTAATGTTTTTACATTCATTTCATTTGGAATGTTACGGTGCTACAAATAAAGTATATTTCACTAAATATTGGAATATTGTAGGAATGTAAAACATTTTATAAATAAATAATGATTTTAACATTTGTCCGCTTAAGTAAGACGGAATAGTTTACAATATCTATTAAATAAATAAAATGTAAATTAACTATTTTCTTCTGTTGGGTATCTCGAGTTATAAAATCAGTTTCCATCTGAAAGTTCATTCAAAAGAAACAGTTAACTAAATCGGTTACTTTCTTAATCGTTAAACTTTGTTTAGCTACTCGTAGTTTACAGACATTAACTTAACACTCTAGTTACAATGCGAACACAAGTCGTACACTGCCACCTTTATGGCACAGATCTCATTAAATAAACATTTATAATGTATAAGAATATCGAGAAGTGTTTACGTCTTCCAATAACAACAGTATGAAATGACTTAATGAATAAAGACGAGGGATTAGATGGCAATGTTGTTTAAGAAGAAGCTAGGCATCAGGCTATGATGAAAAGAGATTCAATGACCTATCACTCTGATACGAAACCTTAAAATAATATATACAAAACTCTCAAATCATACAATCAATTAAAGAACAGAATTATCATGAATGTTACTCCAATACGTTTTCAGTACGTGAAGATAAAGAAATATAGGTTATATAAACTGTAGCTAATCACAAGAGAGCGGTTGGTCGTATAGATTAAATACCCATAATTAAATACAAAAACTTTTAATACAATTTTACAACTAACGTCTACGTTTACAAATTTTCTGATTAAGTTTTTCGATAAATAAGTAAACACAATTATTATTTTTTGTTTAATTATATTTACAAGCATAACACGATCTGTACTTAATTTAACAGTAAAGCGTTTTAAATAATAACACACTGAGAATTGACGTAAAGGCATTTGCTACACTTATGGCAAGCCAGCCGGAGCATACGCTCTCGATACTGCCATAGATGAATTTCCTGACGATCGCGGGCAAACACCAGAATCCAGCGGTGGTCTATCGGCCGACTCGTGACCGAACGAGACTACTATTTGCTCGTTCAACAGAGTATCTTTTTCTTTTTACTTTTAGAGCACGAGTGTCCGACCGCAGACAAGAGTAAACGAGCGCCACGATGTTGCACGAGCTTAAGGAATTTCACATGTCCGGACATAGTCTCGGTTCAACCTTTTTCTCTCATTCAAATGTTTGCTCGCCCGCTTCAGCTACCATTCATGTGGCGTTTGAAACGCCGCGGCCACCGCCGAGCTTACCTAACGCTATCCAGTCGTCGTCGCTGTAATAATACTGCGATAGTTGACTAATACTCTGTCCACTCACAATGTCAACAGCTGGCAACGGAACGCGTGAAGCGTTGAAGCGTGAAGCTGCTAATGTTGGGGAAGGTGGGCAGTTTATCTACGTTCCGTCGCAATGCCTCCGCCTCTGAGACCGGCCGTGATGATGACGGATGCCGTGGCAAGGTTGTTTGATGGCGTTGGGAGAGGGTGCACGGAGTCTACGCTGCGGACGCCTTACATCGCCGGCGCGAACGTTGTTGTGTCTGTTGATGTCGAAGTCGTGAGCAACCTTTATAAACGAGAGACACTTGTGCATCGACTTGGATAGGCGACTTTTTGTGCGTCGCAACTGGACACCTCGCTTGTTGAAACCTATGTAGCGGTCTTCGTTCTTCGTCAGGCGGTATCTGTTGTAGCCTTCCACAAACTCCTCCTTGAAAAGACAGTTTGGTTGTCTCTCCGCTTGAAATCGTGTCTGTTGACAAGAAATAGAATCTTTTAATTCATATCCTCAGCAACTATAGCTTTTTGGAAAAATTATCTTTTTCAACTGAAGAAAGTTTGGGAATTCTAGCAAGATTAAAAATAAGGTCTTAATATTGGAATACAACAAAATGCTAGTTTTATATTTTCTAAAGCAGGAAAAGGACTAAAAATTTTATTTGAATCTTTGGGAATATATTTTCGTTTGTCTATAAAGGACATCGCCGAAAATGGCCCCAATACCATTAAATATTAATACTTCAACAATAATTACTACTTCATTTATTAAATTGGAATCAAATATTTATTTGACACGGACAAGCTGCGATCCAAAATTAATATTTAAAAGTACTTTAACAGTAACATTTTTATTCGCAAATATTCACATTCAATATACTTAAATTCTATTGAGCCAGATGGATGTAATTTACATGTCAGATCAAGAAGATCATTTATTTTTATTAGATAACCTTTAAATCATCGAACACAAAAACATTAAATTAAATTGACCGAAAATAAACTTAAATTTACTAAAAGCGCCATCTTTTGATGAATTTCCAACTAAAACATAAGGACATAAAAACTGAATATTATACAAACTAAATTCATTAACTGTTAAAAATTCACTCTTGTTTATTCAGAAAGATTGATATTCATACGAAATATCTTAAAAACTACTTTGTTTCTATTACATTACTTTTATATTTCTCGTAAACATATTAACATCATGTCATTTATGTATTTAAGGCGCCATCTTTTGATGTAAACCATCAAAAAGCTATATATATATAATTTTAGGCTTATCAATAGGTACATTATTTAACTATTAGAATGATTTATTTGTCTATTGATTGACTTAGAAACTTTTACAAATCACAATGAAAAACCGACTTTCTTAAAGTTGAGTTTTTTTGCTTCGACAATATAGACATCAATATCATATCATGTACTTAGAGTGCCATCTCTTGGTGGTTTTCCAAACAAATTATAACCTCAAAATGAATTATATTTTGCGTGATAATAAGTTCTCAAACTCGGTCGCGGTATAATAAATACATAATGAGAATTAGTTAGTGACACACAATAAAATAAGTATGTTTCTATATTTTTTTGGCTCTGGGGCCACCAATGTATCGACGTTGAGCAATGTCCTTTCACTCATTGCTGAAACACTAGTAATAATGGAAATAACGCATTGGTTATTTGCTACTGACTACTGATACCATTATTTATACTGAGTTTTGAAATACCAAATCTTCATATTATCCTTAGTATAGGTATCAATGACCTGACCGCTGGGCACATGCCTTTTCTATGGATAGATTCTAAATTAACGAAGCAGCTCATAAACTAGCATGCGGGCCAGTACGAATTGGTCAGTGTTAATGACTGATTCCTGATTGAGGACAAGAGTAAATATGCATTTCGAAATAGCGAGTTGCGATAGTAAATTTTGGACATCTATCTGAATACCGGCTCTTGCTACATTTGCTTTACATCCACAATGGTTTCCGAATGCACTAATAACCATCGAGATTTTTTAATAAATCACAGGTATATCTTACCAATCGCTTGCCTACCAGCCGCGCCCGGTTGAAGCACAGGTACATATCGTGTATGGGGGAGTGGATGAGCAGTTCGAGGTTGATTCCGCGTGTGCTGATGGTGAGATTTGCTGTAACAAAATAAATAACCATTAAATACATAATTTATCACCTATTAACGACGTAAAATAATATTGACCTAACAATACTAATGATCCTCTTGTCTCAAATTTTACTTTCATAATATTTTTATTCTCTGATTTATTAAGCACATATATAAATGGCCTATAATTGAAGCATTGGATGAAAACCACGCGGAATAACAGTCGTAGAGATTTTTAGGGGCCTTTCACGAACAGTGGTCGCTATCCCACTGATATAAATATATCATCATCATCTATGGACCATAAATTAACGAAAAATATCAAAGACATCAAAGCAACTACAACGAATCGGTATATTATAAGCGTATAGAAAATATACAAAATCTAACAAAGGTAAAGAAACAATAGTGTAACAATAATAACATGAAATTGCGTGTTGAATAAATAAAAGCGGACACTTTAAATAACAATAACTAGGTATCGAATTAAACATAATAACATTAATAGCCGTATACAATGACAATAATTATAAAGGAAATCTAAAGAGGCCCGTTCAGATACATTGTATTGTTTTTCAATAATATTTTTTGATATCTCATCGGAATGTTAATAGGAAACTAGTTTGCTCATAAATTATTAAAATTTTGTAGCGTCTCTGTTTTTAGAAATATGCAAGAAAAAGGATGTATACTTTGATATCGGTTGAATGTTGTTCACTTAAAAAGGGTTTAGACATTACTTATGACAGATGTTATTTATTTTCTGATGGAAAATTTGTGTTAAGGGTAAAAAATTGTGTAAGCCAGCTTTCAGTGGAATGCAGGCGCGTAGGCCTTCTCTGTGATCAAATCAAATCCAATAGGAGAATGAGCCATGGTCTACATTGAAGGCCGAGTATGGAGTGGTGGGTGTTAAAAATTGTAGGTGCAGCCGAGACCAACGGCTTTTCGTGCCTTCTGAAGCCGGTTTAAATTTAGTTATTTAGGTTTTATGTGCCCTCCATTAAGAGCTTGTATTAACAACAAACGTACAAATACATATGTATAGTTAAAAACACGTCAGTTTATTCAAAATTCTCAAATGTCTCTACTTGATATAATGATATAGAAAATATTTGATACTATAGTAGATTTTTTCTATATAATGATATAATGTATTCTAATAACACAGAAACTCAATAATACCTGCAATGAAATAAGACAAAAGTCGGTCAATCACTATTTATTATCTAATCTGATATTCATTTGTTATGTAATTTATCCGAGTTATAATATTCTTGATTTACATATTGTTGCCATGTGAAAACATTTTGTTTGAAACGCAAAATAATTTTAAGCTCGCAGAGATATTATATCACCATATCACTGAGATAGGTGCATAATAACGCAATATTGAATATGGAATTTTTTATGAAAGTACCTTTTATCGTAAAAAAAGGAATAAATTCTCATTTGCTCGTTCAATTAAAGATCAGTAGTACATTTTATGTAAGAGATAATTTACATTGCTAAGATCAGCAAAGAGGTTAGGAAACGCCTGGTGAAGGTTTTTATTTATTTCGAGTATACGGTTTTGAAATTTGATAAAAAGAGGTAGGAAAAATATTAAAGCGTTCGAAATTTGCAGTTGGAGGAGAATGGAAGGAATTAGTTGGGTGGAAAAAAAGACCAATGAGGAGGCACTTATAATGGTCAAAGAAAAGAGAAACTTGCTGAACAGCACAAAGAACAGGGAATAGGGAAGGATGATGGAACACTAGTTGCGACATGATAGCTTATCAAATTAATATTAAAACATAACCCTCCTTCTGTTTACAGTCGGGTTTTTAAAATACTTAACAGTTAAACGGGTTTGACAGTACGTATATATAATAACACATTTCTGACTTTCCGAAAGATTATACTATCTTATTTACAGTGTTAGATATTATAAATGTCACATCTAGATGCAGGGCAGACTAAATGTTTCGCACGTCTGTGTATTGTGCTAATAGTTAAGGCTACTTTCTTTACTTGAAAAAAAAAAATAGTTTATATAGTGTTTAAAAATCCAATTGTACGTTTTGTTTTTAGTATCATAATTGTTTATGTCTTTTGTAATTCCCAGTAAATGAATTTTGGTGATTCTTTTGAGAATAAAGATTTCTATAAGCATATTAAAACATTATAGAAGGGAAAAGAAAACGAGAACGCAGCTACTTAGCACAAAGGAAGGAAAAACTAAGTCGTGTAAGACCAAGAAGCTGAGTTGATTGCAGATGATGGGAATTGACAATTACTCCACAAGCAAGTCATCGTCATTAACAGCCTATTACTGTCCTTGCTGCAGTAGTTAGGGTTACAAGGTGATCAGGATTCGTCTGAATTGTCAAACATTCCGTATGATGTCCAGACTTCAAAAAAAAAACAAAAATGTCCCGACAAATATTGATAGATTCTGTAAATTCCAAGCACAATTCAATTCAATTTTAAATTTTTCATCAAGTCGCAACTTTTTTGGCAAATTATGAAATAACATAAAATATATAGCTAATATATCTACTTATTATATTTTCTGAAATTGCTTAAAAAATCCACTTGGTCTCTGGGCGCCAAGTGGATCTTTTAATTTGGATTTTTTTATTAGTACCTATATTTTTTTCCGACTTTGCCCAAATAATTTAGTCTCACCATCTGGTAATCCTAGCTGTAGCACAAACCTTATCGAATAAGGCGAACGAAAGAAGGAAACTACAGATGCAACCCGGACCAACAACTTGACATGCTTTCCGAAACACGAAGGAGTTGAAGACATTTTTGGTCACCCTTTTTAAGTGTTACGATCATGTTGAGATTTTAAATATACCTCATACCGCCCGTGCTCAATCGAATTAATTAACTCATAAGAGAAAGTATTGATAAATACAAAATAAGTATTCAAGGAATTTTCTACTGATCATTATGAAAAATGTCTCATATAGGTGTGTGCTTTCTGAAGTAACGCCGCCACTGGGACACGTTATAAATTCAATTATTAAAGACATGAGAAAACGAGACGGCTATATTTATTTACTAATTTGTATGGTGGAAAGGGACAAAAGTCTGACGCGACAAACTAAGCGTTAATGATATTTGAACACTAATAAAGTATAAAAATAAAATGTCCATAAATATTAATCTACAGGTCGATGCAAGATATTCAATACTGAGATGTAGAGAAAGGGTTTACATTCAGTTAAAAGAAAAGCAAGCATAAATGCATTTTGATAACTTATTATTTTTATTAAATCCCCTTAATCAAAAATTATTATATGATCGAATATTTTACTAATATTCTATGTTATTAAAAGCAAAATAGCAAAATTAATTGTCTTTGTTCAATCTATTTGCTTTATTAAGTACTATAGAAAATACTTTTAAAAGTGCTGTGTTTTTTCTCCAAAAGCTCCATTATTTAAGGTTTTAATCTTTATTAAATAATTATGGTTATTCTAAGTAACAGTTGTTGTAAGTTTTATTTTAAAAATCGAATCTAGCGGCATGTAAGCCGATCTTTCTTATCAATAGGAAACATAAAAGTGGAAAGTTTGAATATGGAATCCGATGACCGAATGCGATGGGACTCAAATAAAAAGAATTAATATGAACACGGGCACGTCGCTGGACTTCATGAACTTTAGTTTGTTGTATTTAAAGTTTATAATCGCTTAGAACATTTAAGAGTAGGCATGTCATTTCAATTAACATTAGGTAAAATAAAAATGCTTCGGTTCGAGTCACTAACATTAGGAACATAAATTCGTTATAATTTCGTGGTACAGAGTGAGAGTGCATGAAAGTGATAGAATTAGGTGCCCGTCAAAGATAATGAGATAAGGACTTCAAAGGATTATCTTACAGACACTTTATATAAATTCCGATATGGTTTTATTTATAACAAATCTGTCGGGCGGTCTGTCTTATTTCACCTTCAATTACATAAAAGTCGATGCCTAATATAACCTAAACAACATAATTTGAAACCATTAAAAAACAAAGGATTTAAAATAAACATTCTTTTAATAAATTGGTGCGGAGTTCAAAGTCAAAGTCAAAATAATCTTTATTCAAATAGACTTCTTAAAAGTACTTTTGAATCGTCCAACATTTTTTCCCTACCACTCGTTCAGGACGTCTTTTGGCTGATAAGAAGAACGAGTAAGAAACTCACCAGCTCTAATAAGAGTAATGACATTTACAAAAACCATGTCATTACCAGATCAAAACCATGTCATTACCAGATCATTACCAGAGTTATTTTATGAAATAGATAAAAATTTACCAAGTGCGTCTAAAATTTTGAATAAAAAATGCAGACAATAACTATATATATAAATATGGAAACATCTTCTATATAATATATCAGCTTTTTCCCGCGACTTCGCACGTGTAAAATATAGCGTATGATGTAGCTACACGTGGATGAAAGAATTTTTTAAATCGGCTTAGTAGATGAAGTGTCTATTCGATACAAACAAAAAACAATCAAACCAATATTATATTAGTATAGAAGTATAGATATAGATTATCTATAATCTGCAAGTATAAGGTTTTTGAAATTTAATATATGTGCGTTATGTGCACATGTCTTGGTCTTGGGCATTTTTTTTTTGTATAGTAGAAGTAGTAGTAGAACGTTGTATGAGCCAATCGTTTTTTAGTCTTTGGTCATCGTGACTTTTTGTCTCCAATCCTTGCGGTGGCGCCGCGCACTTAAACACGTGACATTTGGTATGTGCTATAGAAATATCAGGAGTGTGACGACAGAAACACGGTATGACAAATTCACGAATCAATGACAAATAATAGTGTATTTTTAATCAAAAACGTATACATTAACTCGATATCCATTATGTATCGAAAATGAAAAGCTTTCTACTTTCAAAATTGTTACCGAATGTAATATAAACATACCCAAAACAAATCAAAATGTTGCATAACCTACTCTTAAAGTGGTGAAATTGTACAAGCATCGCGCTAACTTTCTTCCCTGGACCCGCAGTTACGTCA